AATAACTCAAACCCTATTCTCTTTCATGCCTTTCTCCATTCATCCCTCCCCAAGATGATGATCTATAGACTGCATTTTGATAATTCGAGCTCAGATTCATCTGGGCAGAGTTCGATTGTATGCCAAACCCTCTTTGTCGCTATAAGGGCCCTAGTTTTTAAGGTTCTGATTGCTGTCTAGTTTATTTGGTTCGTCTGATGATGGCCATCCCAGGTCAAGAGGTGTCGAAGAGCAAATGGAGCCACTTCCACCTCCTGTTCAACTTAGCGAAATTACTGATGAAGTGTTTTAATAGTATGATGGGTCTGATCCGACAACTACCCTAAACCCTGGTATTTTTACCTATTTTCTTCATTTTCGATTTTTTTTTTCATCAAACAACCATGAGAGCGAAGTATTTAGAACAATGTTGACTGTACAGGCCACACATATTATAAGGGGGTGGGTAATTTTTTTTTTTTAATAATCCCCCACCCCCTCATACATCATGTGAGGAGGCCTGTACAAGCCCTGTGAACACAAGCCTGTACATTAGGCATTTTTCAAGTATTTATTCCTACTAAAAAGAAATATGAGTTTAGATCGGACCCATTGTCAAGAGGTGGGGGAGCAGCTATAACTCACGTTTCTTATATCTTCATCCTTGTTTTCTTCATTATAGAACTAAGGCCATACAACAAATTTTCCATGGAAGGAAATTAAATCCCATTTTTCACCTTTTTACATGTTTGATTGGTTAAATTTTTCCTGAAATTGGTTTTCTTGGCACACCCCATTTTCCACCTTTTTGAGGAATATGTTTTCCCATGGGTTTGGTAGTTTTTAGCGCCTTTTATTTTTTTTTTTTTTGCAATTAAAACAAATTCTATCCCTTAATTGACAATTTTTATGGAAAACAAAGTCAAATGAATACCAAACGATTCAATATTTCAATATTTCCTAGATGAAAAAATATATCAATCAAATACATTTAATTGATAATTCCCAATAAAGGAAATTCTAAACAATTCAATTCCTTGAAATTCGTTTTCTTTCTACCCAAATTTAATTATTGCAATTAAATGGACCATCAAGGATAAATCCGTAACACAATTCCTATTTGATAAAGTTTTTTGAGATTATAAATTGATGGATCTCTGTAAAATATATTGTTAAAAGTGGATAGGATATTTAATGAAATTTGTGGATAAAAATAAAACTTGACCAGCTTCAAATTTCAAAAAACTGTCTTACAATGACATAGTAAATTCTGAGAGCTTAAAGTTGAAACAAAAGCCTACATAAGTTGAAACATGCATTGCAGTAATAATTGAACAGTAATTATTCACTTTAGAAAAGTTTTTATATTTCCACTTGTTAATAGCGTGTTTACAGTATTTACAAGAGAAACTGGCTCTGCTGCATGGATTATTTACTCATATGTCGGATTTGTCTCTCGAATGAGCAGAATAAGTTGTTGTCAATTGGATCCGATTTGTAAAATGGGTCAAATTCAAAGTCCGACACCAGCCGGTTTTCGTTAAAGATATCAAACTTTGGGCCTACTCTTTTCAGCTAAATGCCACGGTCGTAGAGGGTAGGGCGTCTTCTCCTCTTCCTACAAGGAATTAGTAAAGGAAAGCAAGTAATGAATAGCTAGGCTGTTCTAGCATTCCAATTTCAGGGCTTAGCTTAGGCCCCTTCCTAATCTAATGCCATGCCCAACCAATGCCGAATCCAAGACCTCTGCGGCTTCCCTGCCCGTGGACCGGTTGACTTTAGGAGTTAATTTTCACACCACACGTATATGCATGTGACTCTGTTTAGAAAATTGCCCTATTGGTCTTAGAATTATTCTATTTGTACAAGTCGTCCCTTCAATAGGAGGTTGCCACTTGGCCATTTTGTCAATTAAGTTGTACAAGTTATTGTACATCTAGCATGCTTGTTGGTCTCAATACATGTTTGAACCACATTATTTTGAAAGAATATATTTTGAAATAGTAAATTAGTGGAGAATGTGGTTAAAAATGAGGAAAATTTTGAATATGTGTGTAATATTATTTTATTAAAGAATATGTGGTTGAAGTGATATCAAATCACTGATTAAAAATATTTTTGCTTTTGACACAATGTAGCTCAAACAGGACCTTAATTTAGATGATGGTGGTCCTATTTTTAACCAAACAAAGCTATTAACTCTTTTAAGATGGTGGTAGCCAACTAGAGGGGCCCGGGGCCCAGGTTTGTGGTCTACCATGTGGTTTCTTGCTATTTGATAGCAATAATTGATGTAACGAAGTGTAAATGACGTATCTATCAAGAGGACAACCGGATATATCTCGAAAATCGTAGATTAATTGTGCAAAAGTTTGAAGCCGTAATCTACTAAGAAACCTATCGACACCTTACAAAGGGAGGTGTGGGTTAATTTTTGGTCTTTTTTTATTCAGGTGGAGCCCATGCTTTGTAAGTATCAAATGATCAGTCCAATTATACCATTCCCAGTCCATCTCTATCACCGAAGAATTTACCTTTTTGGCAAAGAGTTGGGCTTCCGTCCGTTTAGGGTCCTCCAAATTATGCCTTTAGAATTTAGAAGATTCCTTATTGGAGAGAACTTGAGTCTTAACTTTTATATCTAACGTAGTTTGTATGTATGGAACTACACGGCCTACAAGTTTGATCATCCAGACTCAAATTTGCAAGTAGGTTGTGTTGAGTTAGTCAGAGGTCGATAATCTAACACATCTTTTAGATCTCCATCGCCGTTAGAGCTATTTATTGTTTTTTAATTTTATTTAAAACACATTATCACTTTTTAGGTGCTTGTCCATTTAGAACTTAATAGTATTACGTTTCAGTAAGCTACAAAAACAAATATAATTTATAGATAAATCTATAATAAATATACATGTATAAAGATAAGTATTTATTTTTACATTTTTATATGATGATACGTAATTGTGGCATGATAAGAGTGATACTAGCACGTGATATGTTTGTGGAAAGCTATGAATTGCACAATATGGTCCTTTATGTTCCCTGCAAAGTGTACCTTTTATGGTCACATGCAATTGTAACGTATATAATTCTCCATTAAATCATTATGGATACAGGGAAATGTTTTCCAATTAACTATGAATAAATTTGAACTATACGATTTGAAAGTACAATAATACTTAAAATTGTATTGTGATTGGAATTATCGAATCATTAAACATATAATATCCATTATCCAATTTTATAAGGTATAGTCTAACCTAGTTTTGCTGTGTTTGAGCAAAGGAGACAAATGAACCCATGTAAAAGTTTGAAATGCATAACGGTCATTTTTTGATGAACAGGACAAAGGTCTCCCATTGAACAATTGGCTCTTCCAGTACTTGGGAATCCTTTATGCAAAGTTGTTTTTGATGAATTATCAGTAGACCATTCATGTGTTGTACAATCTTCGTGTGTTCGTTGGCGAATGGTGGAAGAAATCTCTCAGAATTTTAAGTTGTGGTTGTGATGGCGGTGCGGTGGTTGTGACAATGACGTGTTGCATAAGAGTGTGGATTGAGAAGATTGTGTTTTTTTTTTTTTTTTTTTTTTTTTTTTTTGGGGGGGGGGGGGGGGTTAATAATTATTTTGTATTCTTTTAATCATATCTACGTAAGACATGAATCTAAACATTGAGTTTATCAAGGAGTTGTAATACTTTCAATAAGTTTTAGAGCAAACGACTTAGAGCAAGCATACTAGGGGCCAACCACAAACTGTCAAGGTCGTGTTGAAAATATGTTATAATTAGAATTTCAAAAACATGATGAGTCACCAAATTTTCATTGAAATTTCATGTGAATTATTGAATTATTTTGTTTTAAATTGATTACTAAATAGCGATATTATCTATTGTATTGAATCGATTAGTACAATGTAACGATTGATACAAAATGAAGTTCAGTAATTGATATAAAGTCCATTTGGCATAACTTTTGCTTCTTGTAGAAGAGTTTTTGAATAAAACTTAGTTATTATTTATTTATTTTTTTTGAAAATTATTTTTAAAAGCACTTTCCATTCCGAAAGTACTTTTTAAGGAAGTAACATTTAACCAGCTTTTTACAAAAGCTCTTCTAACTATCAAAAACAATTTTAAGCCCCGTTTGGTAGGAATTTTTTGCCCCAAGAAATTGATTTTTTGATCGTTATTTTACTATTCAAGCCGTAATTTTTGACTTCTTCTCTCACATGTAGACCCCACTTTTTTTCTAACGATCAAAAAATCAATTTTCAAAATCCATACCAAACGAGCCCTTACAAAATTAGTCAAATGAATTCAAAAATAGCTTTTAAATATCACAATCTCCTTTTAACTTTTCAAAAATCGTTTCAAATGGCCACAAATCCTCCAACCCTTGAAACTTCATTTTCTCACAATAAATCCAAGCAAACCGTCCACTTGCCTTTTTCTTCAAAAACGCACACGACACGTAGTCTCGAGCTCGTCAATCAACGCGTATAGGGATATCTAATCTGGCTCAAAAGTCCTAGCCTATTATTTTTTGAAAGAGAATAATACTACAGAAATTATTCTGTTCAAAGTGGACATAATAAAATTGTCTATTTGTCGATGCGTCAGAAGAATTTTAAGGAATTTCTTTTTTTAATTTTTATAAATTGAACAAGATAGGGCTTCTAACCATAGATAAGAGAACATGAGTGAAAAATAGTAATTATCTAACATTAGTGGTGCTAAAGCACTAATCTAAATAATCACACTCGATAGATTCAATTAAATAAATTATGTGACATTATATTTAAGTAAATTAGCATAATGTATTTGTCAATTAAATTGGTACTTGACATTAATGATATTGAGCAACTTTAATCTAACACCTGTTTGATTGTCATTATTCAACAAAAATGAAGTTTTGAGAAATGTATGGTTAGGAAAATTGAATTTAAAATATTTTATTGTGTAAATATATGATTAAAATGAGTCGGCAGAGTGAAGACTCTTCAAAAAATTGTGGTCTTACTGGGGCCAAGTAAAATGTGTATTTCGAAAACTCAAAAATATTTCTTTGCGCCCTGCTCTTGACAAAGTTAGGGTAGAAGACAGCAAGGATCGGCTTCCTTATTAATCTTTACAAACTGCCACCCGTTTGCCATGTAGAGAATACGTACATACACAAATACATAGAGGAAGAAAGGGAGGAGAGAGAGGGGCTTCCTTGTAATCAATCTTACATCATTCAATTCCCTTTTGATTTATTAATTCAAATATTGGAGTTCGTTTTTCTTTTTTCCTAAAGAATTATATTTTCTGGGTCATAAATATTTTGGTAAAGGTCTGGAAATTCGAAGGTTTATTTGTCGACCTCCTCTCTTATCTCTTGAGGCCCAGAATTTTTAATTAGGAGATCTTCATTTTTGGGTTAATTTGATTCTTAATTTGCATTTTTTGGCTTGATCTTGGATCGGAGAGTGATATATACACATATTCTTGCATATGCAATATATATGTACGGTACTTCAAGATTTTTGGGGAAATTATACAGTATGGTGGCAGAATGGGGATCTCGTTATTGTTCCAAGAAGACTGATGATATATGTGGTGATGAGGTATTTTTATTTATTTTTTTTCAATTTGCTTTAAAAAATGTATTTTATTGCTAATTTTTATTTTCCGTTCGATAGCATTGTTGGGCAATTTTTTTAAAATATTACTGGGTTTTCTGATTTTATTTGTTGGCGAGGAAAAATATAAACAATTTGAAAATGTTTCTGGGAAAAAATGAAAGGTTTTTGGTTTTTAAACAAGTACTGAAGTTAAATTTCATGAAATTTTAATATATAAAATTGGAAGAGATCAATATTTGCTGCTTGTTGGTAGGATTTAGGGGAAATTAATATGGCGTAAGATTCAAGATCCTGTGTAAATTTTATTTTTTTCCAAGTCCATGAGCTGATCTTTAAGAGTAGTGGTCTAAATGGAGCTGTGTTTATCCTTGTTTTTCCTTTGATAAAGGTGCATTGAACCTTGAATCTGGAACCAAATAGTTCTTATGCTAAGTTAACACTAGGCTTTAAGGAATTCTTAAGACTCGGTACTTTTAGGACATTTTTGGTAGACAATACTGGATGGGATGGTACAATGCACTAGCTTCTCATTTGATAAGTGCATGATTCACTCAGTTCATAAATGACGTTGCTTTTTGGAATTTTGCAGAACTCAACTCGGACCTTGAGCATGTTGAGATTGAAGTGTATTCTGCGTGGTCTGGATATCAGATGCTGTCTCTTCCTTCTCATGTTGGTCCCGATATGCTTTTTGTTTATTTATATGCATGGCCAGAAGATCACATACTTCTTGAGGCCTTTGTGGGAATCACCACCTAAGCCTTTCAATGAAATTCCTCATTATTATCATGAGAATGTATCAATGGAGAATCTTTGTAGACTCCATGGTTGGGGAATACGTGAGTATCCAAGGCGTGTTTTTGATGCAGTGTTGTTCAGTAACGAGCTGGACCTCCTCAAGATACGATGGAAGGAATTGTACCCTTATGTTACAGAATTTGTACTACTTGAGTCGAATTCCACATTCACCGGACTGTCGAAGCCTTTGGTCTTTGCTGCTAATCGACAGCAATTCAAATTTGTGGAGTCTAGATTAAGTTATGGGCAAGTGCCGGGGAGATTTAGGAAAGGAGAAAATCCGTTTATCGAGGAAGCTTATCAACGACTTGCGTTGGACTATCTGCTTAAACAAGCTGGTATTCAAGATGATGACTTGTTGATTATGTCTGATGTTGATGAGATACCAAGTAGATACACGATTAACCTCTTGAGGTGGTGTGATGACATTCCCTCAATCCTACATCTTCGACTGAAGAACTATTTGTATTCATTTGAGTTTCTTCTCGATAATAATAGCTGGAGAGCTTCGGTTCACAGGTATCAATCTGGCAAGACGAGGTATGCACATTATAGGCAGTCGGATGACATTTTGGCCGATGCAGGGTGGCACTGCAGCTTTTGCTTCCGCCGAATTAGCGAGTTCATATTCAAGATGAAAGCTTACAGCCATGTGGACCGAGTGAGATTTTCTCATTTTCTGAATCCTAAAAGAGTCCAGCGAGTAATCTGCAGAGGGGCTGATTTATTTGACATGCTTCCAGAAGAGTACAGTTTTAAGGAAATCATCGGAAAAATGGGACCTATTCCTCACTCTTATTCAGCGGTTCATCTCCCAGCATATCTTTTGGAAAATGCTGATAAGTATAAATTTCTCTTGCCGGGAAATTGCATAAGAGAACGTGACTGAATGAAATGGACCGCATTTGTGTCATTTTTTTCGTAAAGGTTGAAGGTTAGCTTTGGCTCCCGGCACAGGGTTTCATTGTCCAATTGATCACCGTGCTTGTATCTTTTTTACAACTTTTTGGCAAAATTGGACGCCTACTTGGATTTCTAGAGTGAGTTATGTATATGACTTTTCATAGAGTTGGTTTCTGTGCGGGATTTGGGTAGCATCCATTTACGAGGTGGGATTTTGCGGCTCCATTGTGGTTCCTGGGCTTTTGTTTTCCCCGCATCAGGAAATTTTCCGATATGGGACTAATTTATTCAAATGTTATTGCAAATTATGTTGTTTACTCCATAATTTCAACTCTCTGACATTCTTGCTGATCAAAATGCTTAATCCTAGAAAAGTATATCGATGTTATTGAAAGTTATAAGTTCTTTCTTGCTTTGCTTTACACTTGCCCTGGGTCAAGCTAATGAATGGAATCTGGTGTTCTGCCTGCCTCCCCCTATTTTTCTCATGTTGAGTTGCAGTGTAAAAAGTCAAATGAATAGAGAATCTGATACCCTTAATTATTTATGTGATATTGTTAATGTTTCAACTTTCTAGAGAACATTAGTCATTGACTCACATTGATGTGCAGCTCTTTACATCATATGACAATGGTCTTTCTGACTGGTGCAGATAACAATTAAGAAGCATAATTCTCAATTTAAAAAAAAAGGTTGAAACCAAATCTTGAGGGTCCCACCGTCCTGTGTTCCAGCAGGTCAGAGAACAAGGAGTCCAATTTCATATTTTAGAAATCGAACCCTCACACTACGACTGTCGGTAAGGCTGAGACTACCTTGCACCACTGTGATATGTCCTGGGGCACATAAATTCTCAATTTTGTAAGCATGGATGAACATCACAAGGAAATCTAAACAATTGTGCAGATAACATTTTCATTGTAAAGGTAGGTCCATCGGTATCATTAAACAAATCCCTTTTATTTTATTTTATTTTATTATTATTATTTTTTTTTTCAACTACGGTCCAAAGCAATGTGTATAAAGATGCATGGAATAAAATTTAGCCAAGTTTTACGAACTCTCTCTCCATTAAATATTTAAATAAATAGAATACTTATATTTAAGTGAAGAGTTTGTATGAAACGAATTACGGAAAGATATTAAATATAAAAATAATTAAGGTAAACATGTATGATTTTATTTATTTTGAGGCCCCCAAGGCAACAAAATATTTCTTTAAATTAATTTATTCAAAATTTTGACTCCTTTGTCTTCCTCTCTCCTCCAAATCGCTAACGGCTCAATTTAAACAGTAATTGCCAATCTGCCATGCAATCTTCAACCCCCACAAAATTTCTAGCCGTTATAGTGATCATCCACGCATCCTTTTTAAAGTTTTTAATTTCTTCACTACAATGTTTGAACACGAAACTAATATTCACAGTTCCCTTTCAGTCAGTACCTTTAGAACTATCTCTGTGTCTTAAAGGAACATTTATAGTCTTAGCATCTAGCATAGCAAATCTCTCAATTAATTTCAGTATATATGGATTTTCTTTAGAACTAAGACAAAAATTTTCCTATCTTTAAAGATATCCATTCCTAAGATCTTATTTCATTACCTTTTCAGAAATATCAAAATTTGAGTTTTTTTTAAAAATAATATTCAAGTCATAATTAAATATTTATTTCAATTAAAAGATAATTGAAACTTATCTATATATATCCTCATATTTCTATCCTGAAAAACAACAAGACAATTACAAGCACCATTTTTAGTTCCCTGTAAAAAAGGAAACAGGAAATGTTGGGATTATTCAGGCTATACATATACTTGCCAGTCACAATGAAAATAGTTGATTAACGATTATAAGCCACAACCTCCGTTAATTATTCCTCTCATAAGAATATTTTTCTTGTCAAATAAATATTGCCGTCGAATTTTGAGTATATTTGTTCTTCATTTTGACTGTATATATTTACTCTTTGTGGCAGTCGTTATGAGTTTCAAATTTTAATCACTTATGTAATTCATATTCATATTTGTTCCTGATGCTCTATAACTCCATTTGTCTCATACAATTTCATTAGTGTACCTTCATCACATGCATATCATCATGTCATTTGTGACTTTTATAAAAAAATATGGAAGAATGCGACCACACGAGTGTGTTATGTGACTAATAATAAGATTTCGTTTGCAGCGTGACTAGAGTTATATGTGACTTTACTTGTGATGACTGTTTATATGTGATATGTGATAATTGTGGCTTGATAGTATGTTTAAAAAGCGTGACATCTGTAAATCACACATGTGACTTATGTGAGGTTATTTTTTTTAGCAATATGTTTCATGTGTTATGTGATTATGATCACGGTAAAGTAATTTTGATTAAAAATCGTGCCTTATTAACACTAATCTAAATTTTGACATTATATAATTCACGTATCAAAAAAAATTGTGCCTATAATTTTTTATTTCATTTTTTAATTATTTTATGTTTTAGAATTGTAAAGTTATTATTTCACCCTTATCATATTTGATTAAATTATGCTATTTAGATCAACTAAAGGTCAAATTAACGGTTTTTATCCATTTGGACTGGACCTGCGAATATTTTAGAGGTTTGGTGCCTCCCTTGGCATAAATGAAAAGTTTGTGTCAAGTCTGCTAATAGACAAAAGATTTAGTACCTTGACTGCAATTTTCCCTATTTAAAATAATTTTTAAATTAAAAATTCTTGATTTCTCCAAATAAACTTGTACCTAATTTTTATTATAGAAACTTTCATCTCTCTCTCTCCCACTCAAATGACTCACTTGATTTAGGCCCATCTGGAAAATGAATTAGACTTTCACAGTAGCCCATTCTATTACTTTTTCCAAACCCTTGACACGAGAAAAACGGAAAACCAAACACCCCAGTGAACAATGAACTCGGTGGCGAAGCGAGCAGTAATTCTCTTGACCCGCCCAAGTGCGGCTCTAGGCTCGGTGAATTGGGAGCTGCAGCAGTGGCGTGCAATCCGAGTGAAAGTGAGGAACAACAACCTGGAGCAAGCCCTGACCCTTCTGCAGAGAAAGATGCAGTCGAGCGGGATCGAACGTCTGATAAAGAATGAGCAGACCCACCACATCAAGAACTCGGAGAAGCGTGTGCTGGCCAAGAAGAATTTGGAGCGCAAGATTCGAGGTCAGGACCTCGCGCGGAAGCTTAAAGCCATCCTCGTCAAAAAAGTCAGGTGAATTGAAAAATTAATTAAATTTTTCATTCAATTATGTTCTGTATTTAGTATGTGCTGGTATTACATCATATAATGCTAAATGTTTGTCGTGATATAATTTAGCTATGAATATATGATGATGAAGCGGTGATGAACTAATGACATTTTCTGCTCCAATTGAAAGAATTTAAACTTTTACTTAAAACATCATCAAATTGATATTTCGTGTTTTGTTATTTTTAACGTGGAAAAAACAGAGATCTTATGAGTGTTCTCTTACGAATGAAAGAATGCAAGATCTATTTAATTACGCATGAAATTGAGATGATGGAGTTCTTTTTTTCTTTTGTTTTTTCACGAGAATTTTTTTTTTTATAGAATTCAAGGCATGAATATTCTGTTAATACGAAGACTGAATTTTTCTTGAAAATACTGTCAGATCAAGATGATGTCAAGTTTTATTTTTATTTGGAAATGAAGATTGTTATTGGCAATAGAGACCGTGGTTTGTAATTTAACGAGTGGGAATAGGATGGGTTTTTGTTTTTTTGATTCATAATAGTACTGCATCAGTAAACACAGAATTGTTGTTGTATTTTATTACATCTTTTATGAACAGAAGGTTAGAATTGAAACTTTGATTATAGGCATTCGTTAGAAAATGTTACAAATAGCTGTACGAGAGAATAGACATGGTGAATGAGCTGTTTATAGTAATTAAATTCCTGGAAATTACGAAGGAGTATAATGTTTAGATTCGTAACGTTGACCAGTTTATAGTAATTAAATTTCTGGAAATTACAAAGGAGTTTGATGTTTAGATTCGTAATGTTGACAAGCATATTGGAATGCTGATGTTCAAGAAACGGAAAAATTGGGACCAATTGAAAATTCTAATATTACAAGATAAGGCTTTACATAGTGCTAATGTGACTCCCAATGCCAAATGAAGAAGCCTAAGCTTTAACTTTATATGTGGAACTGAGATTTCCTAATAAGCAGCTATTTACACACCCTTGAGGGTTAAGTCAGTTTGTAAATTGAATTCTGAGTTCAGTTTCATCGTGTGATTCTAGCTGTTGAATTGTGGAGAGTTCTTTTTGTGGATTGAACGGATATGCAGAGTATTGAAATAGTTAAATTTTGGGAGGTAAATATTAACTGGAAATCCATTAACACAGCATATATAATTTCTTTTAGATGTTAAAGAAAGGGGACACAAAGGAAAATCACCAAGGTGAGAAGTATACTTGTTGAATCCTGGTGTCCTATAGCAAATGGATGATGAACAATCTCCTTGGACTAGTAACTAAAGGGGGCTACAATCATCCTAATATTTCATAGCGTTGAAACTGTAATATGACATAAAATTTTTGAAGAATGGACCTGTGTGTGTGTTTGTGTGTCTCTCTCTTTGTGTTGGGGGGTGGGGTGGTGGAGTAGTCACTATTGAGGAGTAGTCACTATTGAGACGCACAAATACTCTGTCTTCATTTTTCTTTCTACATGTCTTGTTTTCTTTGTTAATATTTGACTATTTGTACTACTTGTTCATTGTGTTTTCACTCATTTTGGATGTACAAGAGGATAAATATGACAAAACAAATTGACTAAAATATAAGATACTAATGAGAAATAAGTATGTGAAGTTCAATGGGAATGCATTTCAAATCTTAAGAATTAATTTAATGAATTTATTACTTAAGGATGCTGCCGCAAGATGAAACCAGTTATGATGCGAACCGATTTAGCAAGGTTGCTATCGAATCCACAGGAATTGATACCGAATCCCAAGAATGTCCCAAATACGACCAAGGTTTAGCATTAACTTTTGAACGATGAACCAAGCAATCAAAGGTATATTAAACCAACGACTTCTTGATCACAAAATCTCGAAATCCGAATTGTGGACTTGAACCTATAAAATTATAAACCAAAAAATCCAGCAAGAATGATGCTTGAAAGACCCCTTGATTACATAACCCAAAGATCCAACCCGATGTTTTTGAACGCCACAAGAAATCACTTTCTTAATAAGTTTGATTTGCCCATTGTACAACAAGATAATTGAAGCGAAAAGCTTCGAGAGAATTTTATTCAATTATTCATATGAGAAGGCTTGTGTATTACAATGAGAAAATAAATTTATTTATACTAAAAACTTTGCAAGTAGTCTGAAAAGGAATAAAACTCTAAAAATATAAAAGTTACAAAAATTAAGAATTCTAAGCAAAATAAAACACCTAAGAATATAGTAATTACCAAAAATAAAGAATTCTAACTAAAACTAATAACTTCTGAATTTTGGAAACTTTCTCTGCTGGAATTGACGTTGCGGATCATATTAGTCTCTCTCTTCGAAAGGAGTCAACCTCGAATCCAAACCTTGAATGTTCAAATTATAGCCTTTTTCTCAAATCAGCGCAAGAACATGAAATGGTCCGTCTCCCCTCGGATGCAATTTGGACTGCTTTTGAATTCGAACCCTTCTCTTGCATACATAAATCCAATCTCCTTTACATGGATCAAAATGTGTATGTTTTGACAGCTTCCTCTTACCATTTTGTGATGCTCTAAGAATGATTTCAGCTGATAAATCTCCGTTCACTTTCCATGCTTTACTCGGCCCAGGTGATTGTAGTAACGACAATTCAAATTGATGCATATTTCCCGGTATACTAATTTTGTAGTTCAATCCACTGCATATGAACTCCTTGCAAACAAATTCCTTCCATCGCATTTGAAACTCCGTTGTCTCCTCGAGAATCACAAATTCAATATTCGGTATATATGATATCTCCCAAGCAGGATGCGGTTGTTGTTGAAGTTTATCCACCAATTGATGCTCGATGCTCGGATTGTAAGGGATTTCAATAGGATTATTTTCTGGAATTAAATCTTCGGTGATCTGCAAAATAGAATTATTCAAAATAGGGAGGGAAATGTTAATGTTCGCCAACGCCTCCTCAATCTTAACCTCCTCTTTATGCAAGCCTACTTCCGATTCCCTTTCACCTCCTACAACTCCCTTTTCTTTTCAAGTTCACTCTTGACTTCCTTTTCACTCTTTTGTGGCTCTTCTCCATTTTTCTCACAATCAATCACCTCACAAATTTGACTTTTACTCTCTTGCACCTTCATGTGATTAATTTGAGATTTAACCTTGTCACGAAGCCCTGTTACTTCTAATTTGAAATCCCGACTCACTAACTCACTTGATATACTACGCACATACTTCGTACTAGGTGTTTTTTTTCCCTTGGACACTCAACCCCATAAGATCTTCTAGGCATCTCTCTAAATTCCCGCTCACGCCGATCACTCCTATAATAATAATTTGGCGCATATCGTTTCCTCATAATCACCCTCAACTCATCCCAATTCTCAATCGGCCTCTCAACATACTTTCGCCTAGATGTTGTCAATTGATCCCCCTGAATTGTAGCATAATCCACAAATGAGTTCACAATCAACTTCAATTTTCTCTCCTCGGAGTAATTAGGGCACTCAAACATCAACTCAACTTTTTTTTTTTCTGATGCCACGTACGCCTCGGAATCACTCCTACCTTTAAATTTTGGGATTGTCGTTTTCATACTCCTATCACCACCATATCCATAATAATTCGTATCCCTTTTTCCAAACCTATTGCCTTTATTTTTCATACCCCGTATTGCATCCTCAATCCACGCATCTTCATCACTATCACTACAATATTCATATGCATCATAAATTTCATTCTTAGGCTCCCATCTATTCCTTCGCCTCATATTAGACACTCCAACACATTGATCTCCATGAAGATTTTTCAGTTTCACATCAAGTCTGTTTAACTTATTTCCCATATTCTCCATACCCATCAACAACCTTTCAAATTGCTGCATCATCCTTTTCGACATTTAGAATTGACTTTGATGTGAATTTGACATTTTTTTGACACTTTCTTTTTATTTTTTACTCTCTTTTTTTTAACTTTTTTTTTTACTCAAAATTTTTTCCCCGGTACCTTACGGACATGAACAGTACCTCGTGAACTGTAAAATAATTTTTTTTTTAAAACTTGACGATGAATCGAAGACTTGACAAAAACTGAAAATTACAAAAACACCAATAACACAAAGAAAACACGAAAAACAAAAGGACAACAAAAATAAAATAAAAATTGGATATAACCTTGATCTTGGTGTCTTAGCTCTAATACCAAATGATGCAAACTCGATTAGCAAGGTTGCTATCGAACCCACAGGAATTGACAACAGATCCCAAGAATGCCCAAATAATGATCAAGGTTTAGGAATTGACTTGCAAAAGTGAACTAAGCAACCGAACGTATATGAAACAAACAACTTCTTGATCACAAAGTCTTGAAATTCGGATTGTGGACTTAGAACCAATAAAATCATAAACCAAAAAACCCAGCAAGAACGATGCTTAAAAGGCATCTTGATTGCATAATTCAAAGATCCAACCCGATGTTTTTGAACGCTACAAGAAATCACTTTCTTGATAAGTTTGATTTGCCCATTGTAGAACAAGATAATTGAAGCGAAAAGCTTCGAGAAAATTTTATTCAATTATTCATAAGAAAAGTCTTGTGTATTACGATGAGAAAATAAACCTATTTATGCTAAAAACTTAGTAAGTAGTTTGAAAAGGAATAAAACTCTAAAAATATAGAAGTTACCAAAATTAAGAATTCTAGACAAAATAAAACTCCTGAGAATATAGAAATTACCAAAAATAATGAATTCTAACCAAAAGTAACAACTTGTGAATTTTGGAAACTTTCCTTGCCGGAATTGACGTTGCGGATAATATCAGTTAGGTTTTGAACTATTAGAATCAGGAACTGAATGTCAAGATTCGTATCCTGTAGCCTTTTCTGTCCACTATAATATCTCTTGAAGAGACATCAAAACTGACGATTTTACACAAAGGCAGCCTCTCTTGGGAATAATGGCCCAATTTCTCCTTACATATTGAGCAGAAAAGGATCCAATGAATTCAAAAGAATTGAACAAGGAGCCGTATAAGGTGAATATCTCATGAACAAAGGGGACTTCTCTGTCAACTAAAGATCCATATGTCGACTTGTGGTTTCTTGTTATCTGATTATTATATCGCATGTCTTGGCTTGTTTGTCTAGCTCCTAATTAATGTGGCTTCCATAAGATGCTGACTTGTGAATCTTGACATCCTCGATTCCTTTGCTTGCAGGGGTCTATAAAACGAATCAAGAAGGAATTGTTCTCTTCCCAAGAGGTTAGCAAAGAGGCTATTATTTGCTGCTGGTGCTTATTCAGTCTGCTGACGTTTTTGTAGGAGAGTAATCTGTAACGAATAGAACCAAATATGAGGTGTGGTTCTTAAAATGTTCAATTTTTATCTCGATAAAAATTTTCTAGTGCATACCTGATAAGAAATAATCGACATGAATATAAACTACATAACAAAATTTTTGTTTATTTTCTTACTTCGTATTATCTAGTACTTTTGAATCCTTTATGTAGAATGGATACCTTTCGCCCTACCAAATAAGCAATGCTTTATCATAAGTTTTTTCTAAACTAAATTAATCACATGGAGCTGAAAACCCCTTTTCCATGCTTTTTGTTCTTCGAAGTGATGTTCTCTAACTCGAAAAACTTTGTAGTTGCTAAGTCTCACTTCTTATTTTATTATTCATTCTCACATGATATATATCCACAAATAAGTTTAGAGAAATGTTCATTTCTTTAGATGTTGGATGTCCATCGAGAGAGAGGAATTACACATGGAAAAAAAAGAAAAAGGAAAAAAGGAAACGGAGAATCTCCATTGACTGGCTTTCAAGGCATTAGACAACCGTCGATACATGTATTTTCAATCTTCTTAGTTGGTGATGGTGCTTGTAATGAGATAGATGCCGGCCCTTGATGAAAACCTTCGAGGTCCAATCCTTGGGCAAAAATGATGAGAAAACTAGTTGTTGCTTGGAAATAGATAATATGTGACTTGAATTCGCATTCACTTCTTTATAGGAAAAAACCTAAATTTTGTAGAAGAAAATAATCAAAAGTGTGTTGTTCCTTTAAAAATGATATATTAATTTTTAGGGCAAATTTTAGTGGGGATCTACAACCTTTGCTAACGATGACACATAGGTTTCTCATGTGACATTTAGATCTTCGATCTACAAAAAATGCGCACATGTGCTTCATAATTAACGAAAAACGTTAATTTTAGCAACTAAATTAGCATGTGACGCTCATGTGATACCTCTTTTAATGTGTAAAAACCTACAAACTCATTTTTCTTCTTTGTAAAAATCTCCAATAGTTTAAATCATTACATTATTTTCAATGCTCAAAATCCATAAGATTCGTCGTATTGACATTACTTTGGACAGCTTTACTCTATTCAGAGACAATACCTGTGTCGCATGCTTATTTAACGACCAAAATGACATTTTTCTTGTCAACTGTGGATGACACATGCACAAGTTTTATAGGTTGAGGACTTCGATGTCACAAATGAAATTTTGAGGACCCCATAATCAAACCTAGCAAAGGTTAGAATTTACCTACAAAGCTTCCATTTCGGAAAAATTTAGTAACAATTTAATTTATAAACAGATATAAATGAATGGTGAATAATACTTGTTGGTTCATGGAAATGTTACAGTTAAAAATGAAGTTTGACCAATTATAAATAATTTATAAATTTCCTATACGGAGGCTAAGATAAGCAAAACCTTACCTAATCATAATGGCCGAACAATATGTCTTTTGTGCTCTCATCCCCAGATAAACAAGCGTAAGCGAATGCAAAAAAACAAAAAGACAGCTATTATCATCATGCTTTTTCAAAAATTGAAAAAGAATTATTTTACCTTGGCATAAATATTCCGTTAACTTGGCCTCTTAACAAATTACTAAAAAGTCGAACAAATTAACATCCAAAATCTCTGCGTACTAAGGGGATCTTCAATGGAGATCCCAAAATACCATTTTGTACTATAAATGCCTCCAATATTGCACCATATTTTGCATCATTTTGGTGCAAAAATGGTGCAAGTGAATAGTAATAAGAATATAATTAGTAATAATTAAGGATTTTTTTTAATTTTGTAATTATTTATAATAAATTCATAATATAATCAATTATTTTCGTCAATCTAACGTGATACATAAAACAAGTGAATACTTTAGTAATTAATAATAATTCAATATTTTCGTTAATTTAAAATAATTATTTATTTACTAATTTATGCATTTGTAAAATAATTAAATAATTTTTTTCAAATAAATAAATTGTTAAGAATTGAAAAAAAAAATGAGGAAGATAATTAAACACTCTTCATATTGTGTAAGTTTTGGTGTAATGTGTTGGAGATGATTTTTAATTTGGTATAAGATTTGGTGTAAAATGGTGTAAAATTTGCCTCAAATTTTAGTGCAACGTTGGAGCTAGTCTGGTAGATATACACACTTCTCAAAATATATACAAAACTCAAAAAAAAAAATCGACTTTTTCCCCATTAACACACTAATAATATATATGCAAACCCAAAAAGAAAAATTATACAAAGAAATGATTTCTTGAAAAATAATTTTTTTTTTTGGAAAATATGTAAAAATAAAAAAATAAAAAATTATAGTTCCACTTGTAAATTTATTTTATTGGAAGAATGTATGATTGAAAATAAATTTACAAAAAATAATGTTTTAAATAATCTTTACCAAGCTGGGGCTTAATATGATATGAGCTCAATACAATGGAATAAACAATTTTCCTTTTGTTGTGCAAACCTAATGGGAGATAATCAAATAATAATGCTAAAAAAAACCGACACAACATTTAACATGATTAGACAATGTGTCTACTTCCTAAGTATCCTTCCATTATAATCAACAATAATGGATACAATGATCTCTCTAGATAGCACTAAAGGCTAATCAAACCATCTAGAATTTAACAATTCTTTGCCCGTAAAAATTCTCGTATACCAAAGACGGAATCCTTCAAATACAACAAGCAACAATATCCCATCACAACTATCTCAAGAAAAACTATGGTACAAAACAATAATGGGAAGATTCCATGACAATTTGTTACTCTTCATATAGCAATTTCTCCTGAATTAACAGTTGAATCTTGATCTTGTGCATTGAATTTGAAGAACAATGAGTTGCGAACCTGGTTGATAGTACTTCTCTATTTTCCCATTATATTTCATCACCCCTTGTACAGGTGGGGAATATAGAGTTTCCTTTGCCTTTCAAAAATGTCTAGAGACCAACAGAAAGTTATATTCACTCAGTGGATAAATAATTTACATGTGAGAGCATTTACATGACGCATTGCAATCAACATGAAAAAATGCAGCTCCAGAGACGGAATTTTCAATCATTGATGGTTTGAATTCCATAGCTAATAGCCTTTATCAATGGAATCAGTCCGTTGGTAAATATCTAATGAAAAGGGTGATTTCTCTGTCAACTTAAGATCCTCCGGATGACTTGTGGTTTCTGGTTCTCGAATTATTCTATCGCGTATCTTAGCTGATTTTGTTTATCTTGGCAGTCCTTTGCTTTTATAAAACCCAATTTATGAATCTTGACATTCCTATATCCTGATTCATTTCTTGCAGAGCTTTGTAAAAAGTAATCGGGAAGGAATTGTTCTCAAGTGGTCAGCGAAAGGGGCTTTTATTTATTGCTGGTGGTTTATGTAGTAAGCGGTCGTTTTTGGAGAAGAGTATTCTGCAACCAGGAGAGCCTATGATAATGTGCGGTTCTGTAAGTGGGTATGTAGTACTTGACAGGAACAAAAATTGCACGAACAAAATTTTAGCTTATTTTCTTTCTTAATACTATCCAGATTATTAAATCCTTCTTACAAAACATGCTATAATAGGCACAGACTTTGGCACATAAATTTGTGATACTCGATTTTCATTCTATTCTCAATAACCTTTGGTAGCTTGCATGCAGAAGAAATACATAGTGCAAATGGCAGCACTGAATGAACACCATTTTACCACTGTCATTGATACCGTAAAACATATTTTGCAAGTTCCTTCTAAGGCTCTATTTGGTACATCTGTTAAGGCTTAGGGTCTATTTTAATAAAGTCAATCTCATTAAGAGGAGTGACTCAAAATCTATTTAAGTTGGTTAATATTTCGGTATTTAACCGATATGAGATTTATTCCCTTAATATGTCCCCGTAAGATAGTGGCTCTTTTTGAGCAGACCAATCTTAAAATTCATGTGCTCATTTTTGAGACTTAATCGGATCAAATAGCTCGTTAGATCTTACTGGGCTCTGATACCATATTAAGACTTGGGGTCAATCTTAATAAGGTCAATCTTATTAAGAGGAGTGACCCAAGATCTATTTAAATTAGTCAATATTTCGGTATTTAACCGATGTGAGATTTATTCCCTTAACATAAAATCATAATTTATTTTTATTTTTTAGTGCCATTTAGTATCACTGTACATGCTTATCAAATAACCCAGTAATGCCTTATCATAAGCTTTTTTAAAAACTAAGAAAAATCATACCGAGATGAGAACACTGTTGATGCCTTTTGTTCTTCGTAGTGATCTTCTCTAACCCAAAAAACTATGGAGTTGGTACATCTGATTCCTTATCTTCTTATCGAATTCAATGTCACATGACATATAACCACAAATAGCTTGCGAGAAGCTTCATTTTTTGAGATATTTGATGCACACCAAAAGAGAAATAAAAGAAAAGTAAAACAGATATTCTTCATGGACTAGTTTCCAAGACATTAGACCGCCATCTATGCATATAATTTTGACCTAGATTCCTATTTTTTACTTCTTAGTTGTGATAGACAATGGTGCTTGCATTGCTATAGATGCTTGCTTATGAAGAAATCCTTTTAAAGAGCCATCTTTCTTAAGTAAAAATGTCAAAAAAATTTGGTGACAATAAATGGTTAATTTTTGAGATCGAATTTACATGATGGACTTTTATCTTCATGGATAAAGACTGAATATTTGTAGAACAAAATAATAAGAAAAAATGTAGTAGTTTTTGTCACTTTAACTACTACATCTAGCCTCCAAGATTCACCAAGATAGATGACACGTACACTAGTGCTAAATGTTTAAACCCCGTAATGCTACTGGTACAATAGCATTATTTGTGAAAAAAATAAAAAATTACTTTCATCTTTCTCTAGCTTCAATTATAGGGCCGAACTTTACAATCACAAATCTTCCCACAACTAAAGAGAGTTGTGACCTAGGTAATCTAACTCCCAAACAAATAACCAATTCGAGGCTTCAAATACAGAGTTTGACGTTTAGGATTATAAATTTTTTCGTTGGATCATCAGTTGATTTTAAAAAGAGACAATAGCAAAGTTCGATCCACCAAAACTCCCCATTTAATATCCAAGTTCTTCTTTGCTTTGAATCGGGTAGGCCCGTAAGGTCCACTTCAAAACCCTTCATTTTCCTACCCCAAGGTTTTGCAGATTTTTAGAGAATTCGAAAAATACCAGGTTTGCCGTTTACATATAAGAGAGTGGAGCGGACTTGGTTTTTGGGTCCCCGAGTCCTTAAATCTCCCTCTCTCGCGTTATCTCCATAGGCGAAACCATGTATCTCTACATACCCCTATAGACACAAATGTATCACTACAGTTGTTGTATTGCGTTGATATACAGAACATATCCCAATATTCATTTCGATATAAAAATTACAGCTTTCAGCTTCCGATCCAGGTGTAGAGCTCAAATGGGTAGCTTTGAGTGGGGGTCTCTTTTTATCTATGTATAAAATTCTTGGCAAGCAACGCCTCATATATCGCTCTCGCATCGCATACTATGTGAAAGCGGGCCTCATCGATAGGGCAATCCAAGTGTTCGATGAAATGTCCAATTCAGATTGCAGGGTCTTTTCCATCGATTACAACAGGTTCCTTGGAGCGTTGATAAAGAACTTGCGTTTTGAGGTAGCTGAACACTATTATAATTTGATGGTTTCGAAAGGGTTCTCTTTGAGTTCCTTTACTTACTCCAGATTCAGCTCCGGGTTGTGTAAAGTTAAGAACTTTGAGCTCATTTGTAGACTTTTTGAAGATATGGATAGGCTCAACATTGTGCCTGATATATGGGCTTATAATATTTATTTGAATCTTTTGTGCAGCGAGAATTTAGTGGACAATGCCTTGGAATTATTGAGAGTAATGAGAGAGAAGGGGCGTGAGCCAGACATAGTGAGTTATACTATTGCAATTAGTGGGTTGTGTAGGGTTAAAAGGCTTGACGAGGCTGTTGAAATGTGGAAAATGATGATTAAGAAGGGTTTTGAACCAGATAATGGCGCTTGCAGGGCACTTGTTTTAGGGTTATGTGACAATGGGAAGGTTGATTTGGCATATGAGCTCACTGTGGGGGATATGAAGGGGAAGGTTAAGTTTAATGTGATAATTTATAATGTACTTATAGATGGGTTTTGTCAAGCAGGTAGGATTGACAAGGCACAAGCAATCAAGTCATTTATGAGTAGGAATGGATGTGTGCCTGATTTAGTTACTTATAATGTGTTATTGAATTATTTTTGTAATGAGCTAATGTTGGACGAGGCAGAGAAGTTAGTAGAAAAGATGGAGAGAAGCAGGATGAAGCCTGATGGTTATAGCTACAATCAGCTTCTAAGGGGTCTATGCAAAGGCAATAGAGTAGATACGGCTTACGACTTGATGGCCAAAAAGATGGAAGCTAAAGGGTTGGTAGATGTTGTATCCTACAATACAATTATTAGAGCATTTTGCAAGCTGGGCCGTACTAGAAGGGCTTTTAAGCTATTGGAGGAGATGGGGAAGAAGGGAATTGTTCCTGATGTGAAAACATTTACGCCCCTCATAAAAGGCTTTCTTAGAGAAGGCAACTCAAAGATAGCCAACAATCTTCTTGAACAGATGACAAAATTGGGTATATCTCCAGATAGCGTATTGTATACTGTCATTATTGATCACCGTTGCAAAATTGGTAGTGTAGAAATGGCTCGCAGTATTTTTCATGATATGGTAGTGCAGGGGATTGCCCCTGATGTAGTGTGCTACAATGCACTCATCAGTGGGTTTTGCAAGGCTTTCAGAGTTAGTGAAGCCATGCATCTATTCGAGGAAATGCAAAGTAGAGGTTTGTATCCTGATGAGTTGACTTTCAAGTTAATCATTGGAGGTCTCATAAAGGAAAAGAATTTTTCTTTGGCTTATGACATCTGGGATCAGATGATGGAGAAGGGATTTACCCTTGACAGAGATATATCTGAGACTCTAATCAATGTCATCCATTCAAAAGATGCATCCACCGATAACTTTATCAATGGTTTGTATCTCATGACTTCGCTTCATGCTCCTTTTTTTGTGTGAAAAATTGTGCGAGTGCGTTCCCATGATCTCTGTGTATTCTAATCTGCAGTTAAACCACTGTGCAAATATTGAAATAACTCTACATGCAGGTCTATTTGTACAGTGACCCGAATATTTAATGTGAATTAAAAATTAACAGACTTCTGTCTGTAGAGAACTATATCCCATGCTTCAGAACAGTGAGCAGGAAATTGAGATTTCTGTGAAATTTACAAGTGACACATAAAATAAATATGAACACATCATGTATTGCTGTTCTTTTTCTTAAATGGAGTTGTTCATTTACTAGGAACTTTTTAAGTTTTACTCATCTTTCTTATGAAAATGAATTTAGATTGAAATGCTGCAAAGTCCTCTCAAGATATATTCTCAGTTGATGGTGCACCTCNTTGTTTATCACCTGAGCCAATATGTCAGCAAAAAAATCACTCCAATTTTTCTCTTCCTCTTCAGATTCTATATGATGTGTGCTGTTCTACACCTTTTGTGCTTATTCTACAGAGAGCGAAACCAGGCGCTCCAGTATCCTCATGTAGCAGGTCAGGGACCTTTGGCTTCTTGCGCTTGGGCAGCTATTGAGGCTGAACTAATTCTGAAATTTTTCATTACGATGCTAATCTTGGTATGATTGTTTTCTTCTGCCTTTTTAAAGTATTTTGTTAGTACCAAGCACAAATGAGTAATTTAAGAAAGTTCTATTTGTCGTTTATATAATGCCTGGCCTGTCTAAACCATTGCAGTCAATTAGTTTTAATATATAAAAATATAAAATGGAACATAAAAGTAACAAATAATAATTTGATGGATGTGTCTAAACAAATGAAAAACGACTAGTTATTTAATAATTTTTTCTTGCTTCGTTTTTAAAAATGCTTCATCGGGAGTTGACCATTTGTGTATGCGAGGTGAGGCATAAGCCTTAGGGCAAATCAATAAAATAATATGAAAGAATATAACAGTACAAAATTATGCTCATAATAAACTATAAAACATTTTAAAAAATCCAAAATATAACAAATTCAAAAATTAAAAGTCTTAACTCTTCAACAAACATAAAATAGATTAATAAAGTAGCTAATAATAAAATATCAAATTAGTAATTACATAACAAAATTGTTATATACGAATGGAAGTAAAGACCACTTGGCTCTCTCTTTATACCAACGCTAATGATAATAGTTCTTTTCATTCTGTCATCATCCTTTATTTGTGTAAAGACAGGAAAAATAAAATAAAATAGTCCCTTAAATATTGTTACGGGGTTGATTATGACTCATTTATTTGATTATGTATTCATTACCTTTTGTGGGAGTATGTTCATCATATTGATTTAGTTAATTTGTGCAATATGTATTCAAGCATATGGGCTCACTGCATTTTTTTAGGTTCATATCCATGTGAGTTTTTGTGAAGTGTATTGAAAGGGTAGAGTTGGTTACCCTTAACTTTTGGTCAGTATGTGTTAAGAGGGAAAGGTGGTCCCCTGTGTCTTATATATGTGTTTTGGAAAGTTTTGTTACTTTTAAGATTGGTTTAGTCCAATTTATAGGAAAATTTTTGTCAAAATTTTTATTTAATTCGTCAAAATGGGTCATGGTTACGTGATGATGGGTCTAATGCCTAGCTAGCACCCATTATCGATGCATATCACGTTTAGGTTCACTAGGCTGATTCAAGACAGCTAGGATATTATTAAAATGTCTGAGAAACGCTAGACACACCAACAAACACCATAATTCTCAATACTTTACCTTGAGTAGTAAACTTCCCAAATGGTGATCAAAAAGTATGCTTTGAGGCATTTTTAGAAAGTCTCATTTGAGGCTGGATTTGCAGGATTCAAGGCATAAGCCTCAAATAGCCTTTTTATACAATGATTATAAAAGAAAAGAAAATAAATGCATAGACAACAAACTAGAAAAATATGAACGAAAAAAGAAATTGCTGGTTGTTTGCCCATGAAAAGTAGTACCTTTAGTACATCGGTAGAGCAAGGATAGGCCAATATTCCTCACTTGTTTTCTCTGATCTCCAATTTTTTCTTTTGTTTGGTTTGGTTTATCACAGATGCCTTATAATGTGTCAGGCTACGAAAATATCTGTTTGAAAAGTTAAGAGGAGTATAAATAGCTCCAAAAGTGTAGGGCTTTTCCTTGGCATTATGCCTCAAACCATGCTTTTGAGTGCGGTGTAAGCCTGAACAAAGTTAGAGAGCATAATTTTAGACTAAAAAATGCTTTGTACGTGATGTCTGAAGGACTATGCTTTGCTGCCTCACCATTGATTTTACCTGTAAAATGGGGCACAAAACTTTGTTAAAACACCAGTAATTGGTAATGGACTATATGGAGATTCTGATGTGCATTTTTCTTATATGTCCCCTCTTTTCAGGTTTGGGTTTCTTTTCTTCTTTTTCTTTATCATTTAATTTTTCTTTCATTTTCTGGATTTTTATTTTTATTTTTCCAAAGAATTGCAGACAAACATCTTTTACTGGTGTAGATTGTACTGTTATTTTAAGTATGCTCAGGAAAATTGATTCAATTGCAAACTTTAACCATCCAACTGCAGCCAAAACTTCTTTTGTTTATAAGATGATCCTTTTTTTTTTTTGATAACCATGGATGTCCGGACAAGCTTACGCTCACCTTGACTAATCCCACGGGGACCTGGAATTTACAGTCAGGTATTCACCTTAGTGGCCCTGAGGGGACTCGAACTGGTGATCGTTGGGGAGCAAACTCAAGACCTGACTGACCACTGAGCTACCCCTCAGGGTTAATGAGATGATCTACTTACACATAACCTTTAAGTACCCGAGAAGTTCCACTTTTCTCATTCAAAAGAATCTTAAAAGCTTCATACTGCTCTTTGAGTGCATATGTTGAATTACCAATCGATCTTTTGACCTTGATCACTGCTGTATTTGACTTGTATTGGCAAAACAGTAAGACACTGTAATGTACTTTCAACAGGAGACGCTGCCATTTTCATCCCAACCGGCCCATCAACAACGATATTGGACAAGTAACTGCTTTTCCATGGCAACCAGAGACATGATCATAGCGGGTATAGATGTTCCAGTTCTCAGCCACAAGTGAGGCCACTTCCCACTTCTCAGCCACAAGTGAGGCCACTTCCCCCCTGGGAAGTGGCCTACTTTCGACTCGACATTGCCATTCAAGCCACCGTCATTCACCACCGGCACCGTGGACATCTCGTAGGACCAGGCCAATATCATAGCTGTGGCTGCATTATCTGAACTCTTATGAGTAATAATCATCAAGGGAAGCTTAGAATTCCTCATAGTTTGAACTTCAACATCTCCAGTCACAAAAATAAAAATCTTGGAAGTTTGTTGCTTTTAATATGAAGATGAGTAGACAAGCAAGACTTATCTTATATATCTTGAAAACTACAAGTTAAGAGATGAGCACTCGAGAAAGTAGACTCAAGGTACCCTCTCAACGCCAATCAAACATTTCTCGTGAACTTCGCCAAACTCAATACCAGTGTGAGTACAGATTTTTGTTACTTTTCACGAATCTATATTATGATGAAATTTCCATCACTAGCAATTGTGTTTAAACCATTTTCTACCGAGTCTGGTTTGCGGAGGTACACTAAGGAAGCTACATTCGGGTTTGGACGTCATAGCCTATAGCTGAAGAAACAGATGGACAGTAGAAGAGTTTACTATTGAGATTAGAAGTTTTGTGGGGGTAAACTGCATCCACCGAAGTCTTGATTTGGGAGAAAGAAAAGTGGGTTACAAAATGCTGAAATAACAAATGAGACATGAAGAGCAAATGACCAAATGTTCAGTTATCTTAACAGGGTTGATTATTTATTCCCCAATCACTCAATTCATGTTTAATCATTTTGTAACATACTTTGACCATATGCAATTCTCTTTAAACTTCCTCTTATCAAATTAAATAGTTGCCCTTATTTGCGATGCTGTGTTGCACGCATTTGCAGCATTTATACCTTTATTCTTCTGCCATTGACGGGTATGCTGGACCAAGGCGCTACACATTTTGCAAGTCATGGACAAGACGTAGACCCCATTAAGCTATAAATTCCGTAACCTTGACTGAAATCAAATAGATAAAAACAAACTAATCCCCAAGAAGTCGAAAATGTATAATGATGGCAGGATGAGAGAAGAAAAAGATTATGTCAAACAAATAATTGCACCACCACAGAAGAGTTTCTATATGTCAACAGAAAAAGGTCATGATATAAAAAGTACAATATGCACTGAAGGACAAACTGAGAATCCCAGATTTTGGGAGATAGACAACTCAGAGAAGAAAGTCTATGATATACAGTATTGTATACTGTAATACATGCTCAACGCAGCAAAATCAATATTCAGGCCAACAATATTTGCTCTTTATCAAAACCTTGAGAATGGTGGCTGACATCCTGTATTGTATACTGTAATACATGCTCAACGCATGGTGGCTGACATCCAAAGCACGAACACCATCATTTATATATCATGGAACCATGGAGATGACCAAACAACTGCTTTTTAGGACCTGTACCCATATCTGGAAAAGAAAGGATGCATCAGGCTTCGTGAGCAGTCATCCTGACAGAAGCCTCATGCCGAAGAAGTCCTTGCAAGAGGTCTATAAGATCTCCAGCTGAATGATCCATATGCTGCATTAGTATATTCTGCAATGGTAACGAAAACATCAACTCTACCGTACTAATTCAGGGATCAGGTTGGCTAAGGCTTCAGAGAGTTCTTGCTCATTGGCAGGAGAAGGTAAAGGTATTCTACCAGAATTGGACAAATTGGTTTCTCGAGGGCTGCAAGTACAGAAACATGCTTAAAATAATGAAATGAAAATGTTTATGAATGTGAATTGACGAAAAAACCTTAAGGATAAACAATGGACCAAGGAAAATATGATTTAACATAAGTTCTCTCTTAATGAAGGATGTCTAATATTATGATCTCTGTTTGTCAAGTTAAAATCACTAAATACATCAGCCGTTCGACACTTTCAAATGTCAAATAACATGGATAAAGAGAATAAATGGACAAGTTCAATTTTAAAAAAATGCAAATTACACCTGTCAATCATCCACGATATCCACGAGCCAGCCTAAAATGTTGATTTAGAAATTAAATTTCCAAGACAGGCGATCTGATCTAAGAATCCACACCAAAGATCACCTAAATTTACAAAATGCTAAGGTAAACCAAAACAACAACGTAGAACCAACCTGAAGGCGAGTTAGCTTTGATACACCCTCAATGCTTTCTCTTGAAGTTGCACCTTCAGGCCAGTCCAACCTGCCCCATTTTATATATTTCTAAGCCTGCCGACTAAGGCAATGAAACAACCGGAGGAAAGGAGACAATCAATA